CATCAGGGCGATGAATTCATCGCCCTGATGACGGAGGCAGTTAACAATGAAATTTCATGAGAGTCCGAGAGGCGTAGCTAACTCGACAGAATTACATAAAGTTTAAAATGGTCAAAACATTGCGTGTAGTTTTCTATGAGAAAATGTCATTTATATGAATTCTTGTTAAATATTTAGCGTGCTAATTGGTACGGATTGAGATGACTGAATAGAGTTGAGTGTGTTAAGGTAGGTTCTGTGCGTGACTAACGAAAAATCCATAGATTGATACTTTATTACCATATTTGTGCATATTTAGGAACTACGGTACATTGTGTCCCGAACCCAACAAGAATTATTTCACCAGGGGTGTAACTATATCAACAGAAAATAAAACTGAATCAGGGTCATTTCTAGAGGAAAATGCATGCAACGTGGTGATAAATGTAATGCGATTTCTGTTTTCAGAAAAGAGTAAATCCGTTATGGAAGGTAAAGTGAAACTTTTCTTCACATTGCAACGGCAGTTTTCGCTTGCATTTTCGCTGCAGCAAGACCCATTTATTCAGCCTAGATACACCCCTGAATATCCCTCAGTATTCTTCAAATTGTACTACGATAATCTAATTCTGTCCAAGGTCTGAGAAATTTAATTAAACTTAAAGACTGGTTATTCTTTTCCCCAGTTAAGTCTGTCAAACTAACAATTTTTCTTTTTTCTGAGAGCGACGATCTTCGAGGTGTGTGATGACGAGATCAGAATGGGCATCTGCAAAGCCTCCAGGTCCAACAACAGCGACGGCATATGGATCGAAGTGAATGTTCACTTCCTGGCCTTTCTTCACAACCGCGTGTGATATTGGCGCTGCAATAGCAATGCCTTTGGCACCTGCTACTGCCTTAGCGGCAGGTTGCAGAACTAACGTTGTCGGCTTCTTTGGTAGATTTGCATTTCCGTCGTCTTCGCCCTTTTCCGATTCAGATTCTACGGCTCTCTGTTCTTCACAGGCCTGTACGTTCGTAACTGTTATTGGTTTCGTGTCGAAAGTTTTTCCATTAACGTTAAGGATCACTTCAGTGAGAAGCTGAGAAGTTATTTGGGGTGCTACAGCTGGATCTATGTGGTTCTGAATTTCTGTAGGTGAAATTATTTCCATCTTATTCTTGAGTATCCCTCCGAGGTTATCAGTTTCCGTATCTCGGTTTGGTGATGGTCCACTTTGCAAAAGTGCAGAGTTCTGAACGGAGTTATTTTCCTCCAAAGCACTCTGCATGAGATGAAGCTTTCCATATGACAGAGAATTTAACAATGGTCGTGTATTGTACATGCCAGGAGTTATCGCAAGTCCTGTACCCCTGTCCTTAATCTTCTTAATGGTTGGTTTAAGCGAAGATAATCTTCCGTTGAATATCATGAAGATATTTGAAGCAGGTGGAGACATCTTGATCAACGGGAGACCAGAACTGAAAGATGGGTGTTCGGTTAGGTAGCTGTTAGGTCCGAGACGATGACCGTCGGCTGGTAAGTGATCGAACCATGAATTAGGAGGGTGCAGTGAGAGTGGTGTAGTCGCATGGCGTAGAAATGGCGAGATGTCGCGATGCATGTACTGAGGGGTGAAGGTGGATGTCAGGTAGGCCCACTGGTGCGGCGAGTAGTCGAACCTATGCAGAATACACAACTCTTACTGGGAACTCAAGCACGATGAAATCAGGTTATAAGTGACGCTTTTAAACTGAAGAGCGTACTTATTATATACGAGTAGCAGTATTTGGAAATAACTTATGTTTTCATGGCTTCTGTTTCTGTTTACATGGACCATAAATTTCTTCTCTGTATTCAGGAGAGCCGGCCAGTTGATGATAGCATGAAGAAAGTAAATCTATTCAACAACTTCACATAACCGCCCCAAGACCCATTTTAGTATTTTCCGCGCTTATTGTATTTAAACAAATGTTGGTATACTTTTATGATAGTGAATAAGTTCTGTTGTTGAATATCCACAAACAGTTTACTTTAACAGGTCTCTTAAATACCAAGTAAATCCAGACCATAAAATCAAATTTCTCTGGCCGAGATATCATGTGTGCAGTATGAGGTGAGAAATGTGTTTATATTTAACATTCTGAAGTTATAATCCCACATTTCAAAATTGTTTTGTCCTGTTTTGTGGTTAAATGGCGCCAAAAATAAGACGTGCAACTGAGTTTTCATGCTTTAAGGGACAAAACTAGTTTATAAATAATATTAAAAAATATAATAATTACCTCCAAGGCAGCAAATCGTATTATTAAAATGTGAGCAGGCTTATATTCATTATCTGTAGGATAAGTTTTGTTCTTTATTCTAAAAATCTAACGGAACCTATAAATATAGACTGTCAGTTTCCTGCGTTTTTATGGGGAGAAAATAGGTGGTATACAGTCACCACTGACGTAGGAGTATGAATGGTTGATTCATAAAATGTTTATAATATTAATGAACAAACAAATTGATAGTCCCTGTGCCCACCTGAGGTTACCTTCGGTTCCGGGATGCATTGATGCGTTGGCGATAATTATGAAAGGCAGAGAGATTTATGCCAACTAGATCGCGTTATGCATTTAGCGAATGTGGTTGCCGAGCTACAAAGAATGTGTTACTTTGTAGTGCAGCTCATACGGCCACCAAACAACTGGTTATCTGACAAAAGTTAAAACATAGGGATTGCATATTATAAGATAGAAACTTTCAACAAACATAGTCATAATTCTCATCCGACTGTAATTCAGCTTAGATACATAAGAAATAAGAAGAAATGCACTGTTTTACTGTAAATGTAGGCATTTTTATTAATAAATACTCTTGCGATGTTACAACGTTGATAAATGCAGCTGCACGAATGAAACAGATGTGAGCCAACTTACAGCCGTCAACAAAGCTTGCTACATAAATAAATAAAACTGTGAAATAATACAGACTATCGCGGAAGTTTTGTTCAGTTACAAGGCAACTCTACCAAACATCTTGTGGCTTATTTTTGGTTTAAGCCGATTTTCGAGTCTTCATTTATTCGTTTTAGTACCCAGACACAGCGTTCATTCTTAGGAACAGTGCTTATTAAAACACGACATACCCGCATATATGCTGTTTGTTCCTCGGGTATCTTGATGGTCTGCGTGGCATAATTATACGTTTAAATTTATTTTCTATGTTATTACAAAGAAATTTTAAATTCAAACATCCCAATAGCATCGCAGAACCCAGGTTTATAATTTAAAAGTGTCCTTTCAGGAAGAAGCCTACAATTTTTGTCATTGAATCTATAAAATATGTTTTCTGGAAAAAATTTTGAATCTGTAAAAAATATATTTCATTTTACGCGTATACACATTATAAGGGTTTCCCTTCGTGTATCTAACCACAATTTAAATTGAAGTTTGCAACTATATTATATTATATTATATTCGAAGACGGTCAGGCGGGAAGTCGGTAAAGCAGCTTCGGTTTCATGTCAGTAGTTTAGAAATGTTTCCACTTTTCATGCTCACTTACACGCCACTGATTGCTCCATGTAAAGAAAGAAATTCCTCTGTTTAAAATAAAGATGAATTTATCCTATGCCTATAAACGTGCAGAGGTTACGTATAAGTAAAACCAGACGAATTATACACTTCCGAGAGCCCCAAATTGAAGTTAAATTTGTCTCTCTGTCTAAGAGTCACGACTTGGCCCATAGGTGAACGTGGAGGTATTTCTCCACGTTTTCCACGCCTCGCCATGCCGAAACGAACTAATGTAATTAATATAACTAAGAAGTTTTATAGCGTTTTCTAGCAAATATAATTTGCTACGTTCGTTGTTAATTTAAATAAAAAATTAATTCTAATAAACGCCATACGTGTTGAGGGTATCTGCCACCACTTCGTTTCATAAATAAGAATATCCATATCGTATAATTCTGTTATCTAGCGGACAGCGTACGACACCACGTAAAAGCAACGTTGACCTTAGTTGCAGTACTCCTGCCATATGCTGCAGATATCAGTTACTCAGGAGGATGGAAATAAACTACAGGTCCCGTCGCAAGAATTTTTCCACCTGGAGGTATGTTAAAGAATCTCGGTGTAGAACCTTCACTGTTGGAGTTGGTGGCAGTTACAGAGAGGTCGGCGCCAGCAGGCAGTCCGACTACTTTGCCGCCAGGACCGACCACAGCGAGTCCATTTGGACTCGTATAGGCAACTCCTCCAGGGCCCACAATGGCCGTGCCCCCAGAGCCAGCGGTGGCGATACCTCCGGGTCCGGCTATGGAGACGCCGCCCTTCCTGACCATCAAGCGTGTGATGTACGGACCTGAATTTCCGTTTTTCTCGGTCTCCATTATGACCTCTGTATTTTGATCTTCGTCTTTATTCTTCCTTTCCTCATCTCCTCCTCTCTCACCACCATTCTCCTCTTTGTCTTCCCTTGTCACGTCGTCAGACATCTTCCTTTCCACTGCAAGTGGATTTCCGTTTTTCGAAACTTCACTCCAACCTCCGTTTTCCATAGTACGGACCATTCCTGCGGTCTCTTCATCCGATTTCGTTGTTGATTGGTCTTCATCAAACAACAAGGATCTGCTTCTCCCTTGTCTAAAGTTCTTTGTTCTTTTGCAAACGTCTGCCTCGGGACCATACTCGATCATATTCGTCAGCATATTATACATAGTGAGTAAAGGATCATTGATTATAATAGGGAAATAGCCTGCAAGAGGCCACTGTACTCTGGAAGACGGTTGAGGCCCATTGTAAATAAGTCTTGTGTTTGGAAGGTTGACAGGCGAGGAGACACCACGGAAGAGTGGTTGATTGAAGGACTGTTTGTAGGGAATAGTAGCCTCAGATGCGTAAGTACTTAATTGTGATGGGGCAGATGTGCCTGTAAAACCTGTGCTTGGGAAAGTGTGCATGACAGCTCGAATCGTTGGGTATAAAGTTAAGATAGTTACAGAACTTCTGCTATTTTCTGGATTACTTGAAGCATGTGGTAATTTAGCAAGGTTTGAATCTACAAAATTTTGATTACCCTGTCCGTGAAGGAGGTCTACTCTTTGTGCCATGTTACCGGGAGAATCTGCGTGTGCTGGGTTGGTGAAAAACTGTGTGTTGGAAAGCGAACTAACTTGTTGCTGCTGTGCAGTTGCGTATTGCAATGGGTAATAGGCTGGGTTTGTTTCCTGAGTCTGGTACTGTTGATGAAGATAAGGGTTTGGGGGTATAATAGTTTGCTGGTGAGATATTTCGCGTCTGACGTTTTGTGGAGTGTTGACTTTGATCTCTGTTGATATTGTGTCCAGATTGTTGCTGTCTGTGCCCAGTGGTTGTCGCTTTGTGAGATGTGTGAGAATAGGATTATCCAAAGGATTTTTCAACTGTCCGGTGCTGCTGGATTGTAATGTACTTACACCTGATATTTCAGTTTCGATATTACTTGCCTGAAAATCTGTCAGAATTGTGTCTTTCCTTTTACTTTTAACCTCCGGTAAATGCTCCACTGTCGACAAAGTTTCTTTCTTGGTTACGTTATCTTCAGTATTCAGTGGTTTTACTTTGTCATTCGATTCACTATTAATTTTTGGGGGAGCATCTTTGTTCTGTGTTTTGTCAAACTGCTGGTTTAGTTCTGTGTAATTATTGTTAAACCTGTCTTCAAAATTACCACCATGTACGGCGTTAGTTAATTTGATATGGTCATGCTCATTTCGAGCTACACTGAGCTCAGAGTTAAAATTGCTTGTTTGTGAGAGTGGACTCTGAAAATGCTCTTGCTTTTTATCATTGTTTGAATCTCCATGTTTGTTGAGATTGTGCGCTTTTGATATATCTGAGCTTCCCACTTCGTGTTCAACTTGTGTTGCCTTCAAACTGCCAATCTGAGCATTTGATTGTTCCCCAAACCGAACTAATGGTTCGTGTTGGTTGGCATCAGTGAATATGATATGGACAGGAATCTTATGTTCAGCATTTGCTCGGCTATCATCATATCTTTCAGAGATGATTCCAGGTGATGACCTGAAAATAAAAGAACTATTATGCCACAACGTCGCTTTTGAAATGTAACCTTTACTAAATTATAAGTATGAAAGAGTAGCGAATGAAATTGTAGAGTACAAATAACAAGCAAGAAAATGTTTTAAAATGATTCACCAATATATATTTTAATATATGAAACTTAAAAGTAGTTTTAAACACATTATGTCACATATGTTAAAAGCCACAAGTCTCGTTAAAATAAGCAGTGATATGTTATTAATTAGGACTGCCAAACGATTAAGCGACAGATTATTGTGCGAACGAGTTTTAAGGACATATAAATTATGTTGGTTTTGTTTTATTTTCCATTTTCCATAATGAACAGCCACAAATACTTGGTTTTTATTTTATAAATATTGCGGTCGAGCTTACATTCATCTGACACTATTGATAAACACCTAGCATAGGTATTTCTATCTGAGCGTTGAGCGGGTTTTCTAGAGAAATTATGAACACGAGTCATTAGTTTGGTGTGAATCGCTAGATAAATATTCAGCATTGCGGCTGTTATAGTGATCATTACACCAAGGATTCCAGCGTGTTCCTTTTCCAATTTTGGTAATAAATATGGAAAATTGTATCAAATTCGGGTAAGATTAAATGTATGAATTTTGATGTATGAAGATTTCGACAAATGTTATACCGGAACATTTATACGGGAGATTTCATTTGTTTTATGGGCTAGCTGGCACCTGAAAAACCTATATTTCATTCTTTAAGAGTGCAATGTTCCTTTCCTTAGAATACAGTTTTTTTTTCGTTTATAGAAGGTATTTAATTTTTAACATGGTTTCTAACACAGACGTATTTTTATTGTATCACATATCGAAAATTTGTAAGCGAAAAACCGCGTTTGTGCGAAATAGATACGAATGCCCTGTTTCTGTAAAAATGTAATCGATTAATCGTGACAGCTCTAATTGCTATTTCATAATATTATCATAAATTAATATGTGAACGTGTTAATTTATTGATAAATGAATTGAGGGCATTGCTGATAATGTCTTATCTCCACTCACCTCTCGCTCATGGTTCCTTCAGAATCTAGAAATTTCTGCAATAGAGAAATTTCAACAAATAGTCTCTTCTTGTATCAGATTTTCTTTGGCGTCTGTGTTGTTTGCGTATTCAGGCTGCAACACCTTCAGTGATTGAGTTGAATATTACGGAGATGAGAATTTGGAACAAACACCAGTGTTGAAATACAATAAAATTAGGGCCAAAAATTTCGATATTGGCCCACTTAATCCTTTGTTGTTTTCCGTGCAAAATGGATTTCACGTTCGAAAATTTTTTCCACTCACAGGAATTGTAAACTATATTTCGCACTTTATAATTTTTGCATAATCTTCTCAAAAGTACGTGTAAGGCTCCTGTAACGAAAATCTATTTATAATTTGACACATAAGGGTTAATCTACGTTTTAAGAAATTAAAGTGGGATACTAACAGAATTTTCATCTTAGTCTTTAGATGTTGCACGGTGTCGAAATGATAAAAATAATTTCCGACACAACTGAGAAACTTGCTGCCTCCTTCGGGGTCAAATGCTTCGAAACCATAGACAGAGGCAGCAATAATTAAAATAAGTAGTTTTTGCCATTTTGACACGTTGCGTTACTTAGAAGATACTACAATTGTTAAGGTCCACCGTGAAAATCTCAAGTTTCTGAAACAGATCTTTGAACTTTGATTAAAATACTTTTCTGTGTTGTTTGCGTATTCAGGCTGCAACACCTTCAGTGATTGAGTTGAATATTACGGAGATGAGAATTTGGAACAAACACCAGTGTTGAAATACAATAAAATTAGGGCCAAAAATTTCGATATTGGCCCACTTAATCCTTTGTTGTTTTCCGTGCAAAATGGATTTCACGTTCGAAAATTTTTTCCACTCACAGGAATTGTAAACTATATTTCGCACTTTATAATTTTTGCATAATCTTCTCAAAAGTACGTGTAAGGCTCCTGTAACGAAAATCTATTTATAATTTGACACATAAGGGTTAATCTACGTTTTAAGAAATTAAAGTGGGATACTAACAGAATTTTCATCTTAGTCTTTAGATGTTGCACGGTGTCGAAATGATAAAAATAATTTCCGACACAACTGAGAAACTTGCTGCCTCCTTCGGGGTCAAATGCTTCGAAACCATAGACAGAGGCAGCAATAATTAAAATAAGTAGTTTTTGCCATTTTGACACGTTGCGTTACTTAGAAGATACTACAATTGTTAAGGTCCACCGTGAAAATCTCATGTTTCTGAAACAGATTTTTTAACTTTGATTAAAATACTTATGGAATAAAAATATGTTGTTTTATTGCCATGGTTAACATTTTGAAGTGCCGTGTCTGGCTACCTACGTAAATAACACTAATTTTATGGTGTTTACTAAAGCCCGCCATGAGCCAACTAAACTCACTTCCCAACTTCATCACATTTATCTCTTATATCAGTATTGATATTATTTTCACATCTGTGTTCATGCTTCTCAAGTGTCTCTCCTCTTTCGCTTTTCCTATAAAAATTCAATAAGCATTTCTCTTATCTCCCATTTGTGCTACATGTCCCGTCAATAAATTTAACTCTGACTTCACGACCTTTTATTCTTTGAGGAGTACATGTTATGAGGCTCCCTATTATGTGGTTTTAACGTTCTGTTGTTTGCTGTTTTATTACGTCCAAATGTCCTCTTCAGCAATTTGTTCTTAATCTGTTTTCTTCACTTAATATAAAACTTAATTAAGATTCACGCCCATACAAAATGGAATAGACATCCTCCAGACATGAAGAGTAGTAGCAGATATGTTGAATAAGCAGAGGGTGATCATTCAGCTTTAGGTGTTAGGTGTGAGACTAGCAAACACACTCCGCAGACATTAGTGTCACGAAATGCAGAGGGTCCTCGCTCGAACCGCGGCGGATGGATGTTATCTGTTTTACCTATAAATACATTGACTTGTAGGAACAAATTAAGTTTAAAGCATGACATTTAATTCGATGTTAATCTAAGATAGACACTTTGACTTTATGAAGATTTTCCATTACTTCATCTCTTAAGTACTAAGTAGCACCTCGAGACGTGCTTGGTCTTCGCCTTGTGTTAATATCGGTTGCCATGGCTTCGTATTTGTCAGTCACGAGTTGGCTGTTACTGTTATTCTTGGCAGGCTGAACATGTTTATTCCAAGAACTTTCCAACTTACTTATGTCTTCATTAGTAATCCCGCCGAATAAGGCTTTTCCCTTAGACAATGACATAACATTGCTATGCTCAGTCGTTTAGGAATGTGCATCCTATCTGTGATGCAGAGAGGAATAATGCACTGTTTTTTGCTCTCACACTGTATTACATAATGCCTTAATTTTTTTGCCCTAAATTCATTATAGGAATG